GCCCCCACATCAGCAGCAGCAGCCCCCACCGTTCCAGCAGAGGGCTGGGGGTCAGGCCCGAGTCTATACCATCACCCACGATGAGGCCGCTCGTAATGCAGGTACTATGTCCGGAATGCTTTCGATGTCCCATGTGCCTATTTTTGCTTTATGTGATACCGGTGCTACCCATTCTTTTATCTCTTCTTGTTGATTGGAGGCTTTATCTATTAGCACCGTGCATTCTTGTGATCCTCTCGAGGTTAGTCTAGCCTCGGGAAAAATTATCATCTCTGATTCAGTGGTTCGCAATCTTCCCATCTGTATTGGCGGTCGAGTTCTGGAGGCCGACGTCTATATAATTGATATGCGAGACTTTGACGTGATTTTGGGCATGGACTGGCTCACCCGTTACCGAGCCGACATCCGGTTCTAGGAGCGCGAAGTCACCCTCTATCCCGTTTCCGATCAGCCTGTTGTGTTCTTTGGGGTGAGTTCGAGGACTGTGCCTCGGGTCATCTCTTCTATGTAAGCTAGGAAGAGCCTTTCCAAAGGTAGCTGTCAAGGCTATCTTATTTCCATGGTATCCGACGTTTTTGATGAGCGGGTGCCCGAGCAAGTATCTATCGTTTGCGAGTACCTCGATGTCTTTCCTGATGACTTACCCGGAGGACCGCCAGACGACCAGGTGGAGTTCACTATTGACCTCATTCCAGGAGCCGGCCCCGTTTCTAAGGCCCCTTATTGTATGGCGCCGAAGGAGCTTCAAGAGCTCAAGGCCCAGATCCAAGAATTGCTTAAGCTCGGTTTCATTCGTCCGAGTGTTTCGCCGTGGAGTACGCCCATTCTATTCGTGAAGAAGAAAGACGGATCCATGCGCATGTGCATTGACTATCGGGAGTTGAATGCCCTTCCAGTCAAGAACAAGTACCCCCTTCCCCGTATTGAGGACCTTTTCGACCAGCTGAGAGGAGCTAGCGTATTCTCAAAGATTGATTTGCGATCTGGCTATCATCAGCTGAAGATCCGGGAGTCGGATATTTCCAAGACTGTTTTTCGTACCCGCTATGGCAACTATGAGTTCGTAGTCATGCCGTTCGGACTCAGCAATGCCCCGACCGTTTTCATGGACCTTATGAATAGGGTCTTTTGTAATATCTCATTCAGTTATTTT